TAGAAGCGATGGCCTCCAACCTATATTTATATAAATTGCTTTGGTTCGGCATGAGGCATCTGGATTGTGAAATGTGCATGAACCATTAGCATCGTTTGAGCAGCATTAGGAGGAATCCGTTGGCACGAAACTTCTAAGTCTGAGACATGTTCCTTGTTGAAACCCAGAGCCAAAAGGCCTTTGAATGTGCTCTTATGGTAAGTCTGTCAGAGTCAGGTTCGTGACCGTTTTTGAAGCGTTTGCTGTTGATCTCGCATTCATTCTTTCTGAGGGACTTTGATCCTGCCGCTTCCTGTACTCAATCGACCCTGTACAGCGGGTTCATAACTTTAAAAATAAAACTATATATGTATGTATATATATATATGTATGTATGTCAATATATATATATATATCGCCCATATATATATATATGTGTGTGTGTTTGTTTCTTCATGTTGCTCGGGAAAACAACAAATACACTCCGACTCACTAACATGGAAGTGGAAAATCCCTTGTTCGTCAAGGAAAGTAGTCTTCCAAAGGAACATGTTCCACTTCCATGTTAGCGAGTCAGAGTGTACTGTTGCTATGCCATGTCAAGACTATTTCCTCTTAGGTTCATTTGAGGTGTGTGGACCTTTGCAAGCATGCAACTCCCCCTGGCAAGCCAGGCTTCAACCAGCTGCTCGCTGCTCGAGGCTACGGTTTCGGCGCAGGAAAAATCGATGGGTTCCCCAAAAGGACCTTGGGCAAATAGGATTACACAGTTCCAATCTTAAGTAATAGGATAGGATGACAATAGATACAGTAATAGATACATAACATTTCGAATATATAGTTTGCTTGTTTCAGTGGCCACAGCGGAGTGGAAAAAAAGAGTGGGCGTCCAGTCGTCTTGTCGTCCGTGGAAGTCCATCGGTCCTTCTTGGCTTGAGCCAGAACAGCATCAGTTGGAAGAATTCGACTCATGGACACCGTAAACCACAGGGTTGTCAAGTACCAAGAGAGGTTAAGTGGCCTTATAGGACCTTACTACCTTACTGGTGTACCTGTGAGATAGTCTATTACGGTCCTTCAACCTCTGTTGGTAGTCTTCCAGGAGTCATGTTAGTTGAAGGTACCGACACGGCGTTGCCCAAGCTCTAGAAGTTGTTGCAACTTCGAGACGGATCTGGCACGGTCGCAGGGCTCGAATGTCCTGATTTTCCAAGTTCAAAATGTCTGAAATGTTGGGTGACTTCGTGGACTGAAACTGTTGCGATTTCAGGAGAAACCTGCAAGCACGCCAATCTGGGTACTGCGAGGCACCTGTCAGCTCAGTATCTCATGTCTCATCCACTCACCCAGTGGGCCAAACACTGCCAGCACCGCGCCGGTTGGGCGACTGGTTGGTAGCCTATACTCCGAAATCGGATGTCTGGCCTTGAAGAGTTTTCATGGTTGAGACTGGGCAAAACACTGAAAATCTCATGATTTTGTTCTGCGCCCTAATATCTCTGCACCGTGTGCCTTCGCCTTCGTCTTCCTGCCCCCCAACAAAAAAAGGACACAACGTCGCCGTCCAGGCCTGCGCCACGAAGTCCTCAAATCATCAGAAACAGCGGAAGGAGTTCCTTTGGAAAGCATACTCTTCATGGACCAACATTTCCCCACTGACTTTTGACCTAGGACTGCTTCAGCTTCTTCATGCTGATAGGGTGTCTCTGGGTGGTGCATGGTGCCGCAAGGAACGCCAACCTACCACACCTCAACGGGGTGGGAGAGGTACTTGGTTGTGACTCTTGACCCATCCGTCTGATTCCATGCTGATAACTCATAGCACCTCAAGTTGGAACCCCAAAAAAATATCTTCCTCTGGGTGCCTCTCGGCTGGAGCAAAATCAGCAAAGTGGACAGTCACCCGAAAGTAAACAGAGTGTCTAGAGTCTAAACGAACACTTCACCTATCAGGATCTTTTGGGCGGGCATTGAACGAATTCCTCCCCAAATCCTCCCCACATTCCTCTGCCAAGTGCTTCGCAGTTGTGTGGCAATCAGATGATCAGTCTGTTCCTGTTTCGGTATTTGCAGAAAGAAAGAGGGGTAATCTTGGAATGTTGTAGAAGGTTGGGCACCTGTAAGCCAGCACTCTTGGGGGGCCTGACTCACCCCTGTACGGAGGCTTCTCTTCTTTCGCATCAAAGGGATCCCCATCTGGTCCACCGTATGGCCACTAGGGGCAAGAAGCTACTAGGGGCTCCTGGCCGTACTACTAGGAACAAGAAGCTTCTAGGAACCGTATGCCGCCTGCTCCGCTCCTCAAAGACCTCCTGCACCGCACTGAGCGACGCCGCCGCGTGCGCCACCGCGGTCCATGCCGCGGCGAGCGCGACGGGGCGAAGAACGCGCGACATGAGGGGCGATGATCCGCGGCCCGTGTGCTTCCGCAGCTTGTGGAAGTGCCAGGTCACTTAGGCAATCATCGAAAGACGGCTAAGAGCAGATGTTTGGCACTGTGCACAAAACGAAGCTGGTCCTGAATCATTTCCTTACACAAGTTCTTTACCTATGGTTTTCAAGTGCTGCTGGGGTGTAAATTGTAAATCTATCATCCTCCTGTATTCATCTTGACTCAAAAGCAAGCTTTGAAGGCAAAGCTCTTCCAGTCCTCTGTCTTTGGAAGATGGACTTTGAACCTGGTACAATCCCTGACACCACAGAGCCTGAAGAGCTGCCTGAGGCAAAAAAAGCATGCTCACTAAGACTGACAGGGATTCCGGATCACTGGAGAAGTGTATGGCTGAATGTACAAGGGGTGTGCCCTTTGTTTTGATGCAACAGGTGGAATCTCGTTTTTGGAGGCAGGCCTTCCAAGCTGAAGACAACCCGAAAGAGCATGTTGCTTACGGTGGCACGGACTGCAGGAAAACAAGCCTACAAGGAGATCCGTGACTGCTTTGATATGGAGAACATGCCGCACTGGGCTTTGGATGATCGGAGCAATGGCGTGCGAAACGACCAACTCCAACCATCGCTGTGTAGAATCGGAATATAGCATCCTTCTCCCTTTCCTGATGTTTTTCTTCCAAATAGCAATGGCCTCCAACCATCCTTACCGTCTATGCACCCAACCACAGACTTCGCTAAGCTAGCTCTTTGGACTTCCAGCCTTTCACCCGGGACAGCAGGGGTGTGTGGCTGGAGTGTGACGGGATCATTGCCCAATCCGCTAGAAGCAGAACCCGGAAGAATCTCAAGCCTGACTGCAGGGAGAAATGCGTTAAGATTCAGCACCTCGGAATTTTAGGATTATCCTGGATGTGTCCACCAGCGGCCAGTTCCATCTAGTTGATTCAAAGTGGTACATGAGGGTAGTGAAATTTTAATTCGGTAACACTGGCTGCTGAAGAAAACACGGTGGCAATCCACAGATCCACCGATCAGTTGGCCGTCACCTTGTGGTATGGTATGTCTGAACTCCTTTGCAAGTGACTTTGGTGAACAGCTTCCGAATGACCCTCTTCAAAAGAACCTGGCATCCATCAAGAGGAACCTTGTGTTGTATGTATATCTCTTCCCCCACCATTTTCCGCGCGAGCGCCGCGCGCCACCAAAACGGCCTCTTTTGAGGCCCTCGTGGTCTTGAGATCCCAAGGAGCGATTTAGCACCATAGCATTGCTGTATCAAGCAGCAGGTCAGACAGACCCGTTGCATACCGCTTACCCTCCCTTTTAACTAGGCAGAGTACAAACCAATTCCGCAAGACTTGGATTTCTGTTATGGTCTTCTGCAGTTGTATTTTCAGTAGTGATCCGCACCGTGGAATTGACGGAATTTCTGGTTAGCCAGCTTGGTGCCGCCATCAGCAAAAGAGTACTCGAAGACCGAATGTACCCTTGGAATGCCCGAGGCTGAAAGAACAAGTATAAAGAACCTGGACCATGAATACTTGTTCTTGGGCCACATCAACAAGGTTCCTACGGCCTCGCTACGAACGGAGCGATCGGGCGCTACGAACGGTTCACTCTTGGACGCGCGCGCAACTGCGAGGATCCAGCCGCACGCGCCCATGGAGCTAAGATGTTGAAATCCAAGCACTTCTCGCAGAACACAACCGGAACAGTGCAGGGCTTCACCAACAGGAACAGTCAATCGTCTTCCCGATATGACATGATACCCAAAAACACTTCATGTAAGATTCATGTATTGAATGCATGCCTCATTGACCCCCGAAACCACCACAATGTTGGTAAATATGCCATACAAACAGCCTCCAACAGCTTTCCTTGCGAGAGAAGACCTTCTGACAGACTGCAAGTTCCAACTAGATCGCCTCATGGGATCACATCGAACCCTGCGGCGGCTTACAACCAGCAATCTGACGGGGATGGTCGAGGTGACTCCAGGCCCCAAAGAAGGGAGATGAGCCAATGTCGCAGTACTCTATCTCAGAAGGACTCATTCATTTGCACACCGGTTGAAGTCCTTTCTCGACTTGCGAACTCGACACCTCGACCATCGCCACAAACGGGAAGAAAGCAAGCCTTCCTTCACTCATTTCCCGACGGAGTACCTCCAACGGACAACCGAGGTGGCCGGGCCGGCGCCGCACCCGGGGCACGGGCGGGTGGCCTGACATGAACCATAGCGAAGTGCACTCCACCATACCTATCCACCTATCCTATCCATACCTATATCAGACTCACTCATCCACCACTAGCCCTCCTGAAGTCTGGGTCTATGTTCTCACAAAGGTTGCCTCTCGTTGATGTGTTTGGATGATTGCTCTTGATGAATTTATGGCGACCCTGTTGGAGTATGGAACTTTCCCACATGAGTCCATTCTGAGGCTCTTCATGGTTCAACAGAAAGGATGCTCCCAAATCCATTGCCTGCAGCCGACAAAAAAGAGACTACCTTAACTCAGTAGAATCAGAAGTGGATTAGAATCCATTCAACTCTCGCAAAGATGCATGTTCGTAAACATCGTAAACTGAGGGGGGACCATGTGTAGTCCTGGACCCGCTTCTCACGTTCCTTTTGTGGCGGAAAGGGCGTCGCCAAAGTCCCCTGCGCTCAATGTCTTGTTGAAAAAGTCGGCGCAGGGGAGGATGTGCACAGAAAGGGCCAGGCACATCGATTTGGGCATCTGCTGTCGTGGCTTGGCTGGTGCGAGCTAGATGCCTTCTCAAAACAGCCATGGGAAAGGATGACGAGTCAGGGCCGCTTGCGTCACCGCTCCTGCGAAGGCCAGCATGGCCAAGCGGCCGTTCTTCAGCTCGGCCAGGCGCATCTTCTTCTGACCCTCCTGCAGCGCACCACGGCCACGAGCAAAGGAAGAAAGAACAATGGCAACCATGCAAATAGCAATCAACCACGCAAATGGCATGAATGTATTCAAGGCGAATGCCATAAAGAGTCCGTTTACTTAACTTATCTTCGGGTTTCACATGAGATATGAAGAATCATTGACTTGAAGAAAGAAACCTAGCAACCATGCATGTTCTTCCTCTGCACAGGCTGGTACATTTATCCCCCAATACTCCAACTAGCAAAAGCACAGTTCATCACAATTCCGCCAACACCTTCAGGTTGGCCCATGTTTTACAGAAACTCTTCTCCCTGTTTCTTGGCAGTTCTTGGCCATGCACCTTTTCGGCTCCGCCTTTTCCCATCCTCGTCACTGGGGAACAAACTGGTAAGGCCATAGTCGCCGGCCACCTCAACGGAGTTCCACTCGAAGACCTTCTTGGCGCAGCAGAGCTCCAGGATGCTGACCCAGAAGAGGACCTCTCAGGTCGGCCTAATGAATCTGACCCAACGCATGTTGATTCCTTTTTTGCGGATTTGCTTTGGGATATTGTGGGATTATGTGGCTTTAAGGTGTTGGTTTTTGTGGATGTACTGCAAGGCAGGATCCTGCAGTTGTTCGCAATGTTTGGCACGGGAAAGTAGAGAATCAGAAACGCAGGCAAGCAATGAAACCGAAAAAAAAATACACTTAGAAACTGATAACAAAGAGACAAAGAAGCAGGAAAAAAGGCAAACAATCAAGCAGAAAATATGTATATAACATGAATATGTAATAACACATAGAAACCAACCAAGAAGCAGAAAACACCAAACAGTATCATAAAGACAAAAAGCAAAACAAACGAAAACAACAAAGCAGAAAAAAAGACATAGTTAAGCGGGAAACACACAAAAGAATTATATAAACTAAAAAGGCAAAGAAGTAGGAACACAGAAAAACAACAAATGAGGAATCCCCAAGAAATAGAAAAAATCTCCGAAAAAATTGCCCTCTACTGTGTTTCAATGCGGATCCTGGGAACCCTCTGTTCTACTCGTATTTGCTGTGGATGGTGTAATGGTGTATGCGACACGGGTGCCCTTCGCATGTCTTCTTGTGGAAAATAGAATCCTCATCAGTTTCCATCACTTGCATGACAAGCTCCCCAAACGCATCCTCCTACCTAAGTCCGGGCAATCCAATGGTTGTTCTTAGCTCCTGATGTGCTCCAGTCAGGAGCCTTGCCACTGTCCAAAGACTCCGCTCCATCTTCCTCAGCTTTCCTATCTATCCCTTCGGTGTCAACGTGTCGGTCGCAACGCAACAACAGTACGGGCGCCTGTGCGTTCACGCCGGTGGCGCCCAGAAAGGCGTCATGCGCATCGATGGACACGGGAACGGCTTCGAAGGAGAACTTCTCACCTCCACCAGAGGATGGGGCGGCCGCACAGGATGGGAACCTGTCGGGACCCAGTGGGAAATTTGCAAATGTGTTTTGTGTTTGAAAGGAATGGGGAAGGCCATGCGCCGGTGAAAGGGGGTTAAGTGCGAGCAGGTGAACGGGGAATCGAGTGACCTTCATCCGTTGGGAAAGGGTTTTTGAGAGCTGTCAGTTTTGCCCATCCAGGCATCTATTATCAACATCTTGTTAGGCACAGAATGAAACTGAAACACTGCATCGAAAAAGGAGTGGAACCCCAGGCCAGGAAAGCGGTCATCGAAAAGGTTCCCTAGCCGGTGACCTGTTTTGCGGCCTGTCCAATACTGAGCCTGCTAGTGGGACACTCGCTGTGGCCTGGCTTCAACCTCCTCTTTTGCGTTGCGAACATGCCGTCCGGCATGCCCTCCAACACGCTTGTGGAGGCTGCCAAGCGTTTGGGGAATATTCAGGGACTGGCTTCAACCTCTTCTGCACTTCAGAGTTGCTGTCTGGCCCATGTGTGGCCTGTCCGACAGGCAAGCGTTTCCATGGTGGCGGGTCGACGGCAGCCCGTCCGGCATTGGCGCAGTCCATTTTCAGCTTCTATCTTGGCCATAGCCGGGGCTGTCTTAAAAACCATCCACCCTTCTCCGTCGCCTGGGGCAAAAAAACCTGGTGCATTGGGCTGTTAGCTGGCACGCGCAACAACTTCATCTCTTCAATTTTCACTTTATAGCGATGGCCTCCTACCTAATGGCGATTGCCTCCAACCCCCATCATCGTCGGAACGCCTTGTGGTTTCTTTCCTGGCTTTTTGACCCTCCATTCAGGCCTGCGAGACTGTGCCTTTATGCCCAACACATAGTTTTTCCTGGGAGGTGTGTTCCTTCATTGCTCTTTTGAGGGGCCTTGTGGCTTCGGCGAAGCATTGAAACCTGGTGGGATTGGAGACTTCAAAGGTGTTTTGACGCATAGTAAGGCATCTGATGATGAGACATTCCTACAATATCATGCAATATTTACAATGATTTTGCTGTCTTGCTTCTTCATGGTCTTCGCCTTTGTCGCTTATGATGGCTGAATGACGGATGGAGTATATTGTTGCTGTTTGAACATATTTGAACCCATACCATGAACTGTATCTTTGGGGCTTTTCGTCGTACTTTGGTTTTAAGTGGTCGCGGGTCTCCTCAATATCTTCCTTTTCGCTGTCCTGCCCATGATGGCCGGGCACCTGTTCATTGCGCACATCATGCCGACTCGTATCCATCTATCACTAGTAGATGTTTCATCGGCCCTTGAAGCTTGGGGAAGCTTCTCACCTTCTAAGACTTCGATCTCGAGACTTGGAATCTCCCCGACAAGGAGCAAGGACGCTTCCGGGGTGGCTCCTGGCCTTACTAGGAACAAGAAGCTACTAGGAACAAGTGCATCGCTTCTAGTAACAAGTGCCTTACTAGTAGTAACAAGAAGCTACTAGGGGCTCCTGGCATCGCTACTAGGAACGGGGCGAAGCTACGAACGGGGCGACCCTGGCATCGCGAACCGAACGGAGCGATCGGACGCTACTTCCGATGCATGGAGGCATCCGTACTCCGTCAGGTTCTGTTGACACTGGCAGGAACTTTCAAAGCTCTAGCAGCCCATCCCGGCAGTTGAAATCAGGAGACACAAGAACATGAGTCGTCAACGCGAGTCATCAATCAATGAATTCAAGGAATCCGGTCTTCCTTTGATTCACAGGGCGGAGCTCGAATCTACTCCTCCCCGAGTCCTTGAAAATTCTGCAGAGAGCTGGTCGAGACCACTTTAGCTGCACCACCCCCAACCCGTCCAGCATCGGGATTTGACCCTCCAATGATGCATGTTTGTGCTATACGAGCAGGCTCCTGTCCGAAAGGCACATCACAGCATAGCCACAGTGTTTCGAGAAAGGCACGTCACGCGATTCCAAAAGCCACATCATGCGAATCCCGTCCTCGAAAATTGTCCTCGTTCGTTGCAAAAACATGGGCTTTAGTTGTGGGGAGCTATGGTTGTGACTACAAAATCTTGATGTAGTATAGGTGGCACGCGGAATCTCCAGGCTTCCAGCAACCCTCAAGACTGGCTCTCATTCATTGACTCCTGCGGAGCATTGAGAACATGGTTCAAAAGTGGCGGACCGCAAGACCTTTGCAAGGGACTGGACAAATGTTATCTACCAATGCATGGTCTTGGAGACCTTCAAACAAGAGCAAAACAGGAACACGGACCTTCAGCCAAAGACATACTTTTCCGCATGGCCACAGGCCTAAGATACGCCTCACGGCAAGAGCACAGTAGTTATTTGGAGAACCCTCCAACTGGATTCACCAGCGTCTGCCCTCCAACTAGAGGCCCACCCGCCCTGCAGTCGCACCTGGCAGGCGCACAAAGTCTGGCACCACCAAGCCCACCCAGGCGAGCATAGCCAAGCGTCCGTGCTTCAGCTCAGCCTGTGCTTCAGTCGTTTGAAGCCAAAAGCCGACAGATGTCAACGACCTCTAATGTCTCACCAAACCCTGGAGATGGTGACTCCTCGGCCCGGCAGCCCTGTGCGGAAAGGAGCATCTGCACAGCACGGCCCACTCAGAGGCTACTTTTGCTTTAGAGCTAGACCTCCTCCTACCTGACAATCTGACCTCGCGCCTCGCGGAAGTAGGGCACCAGCTCGGTCTTCTTGGAGAAGCCCAGAGGGTCGAACTCATAGCGGCCCCAGGCACCCTCGGAACCCACCAAGCCTGCGAGAAAGCTGGGGTAAGGGGGAGTATGAGAGTTCATCTTGAAGAGATTCTTGAACTGCCAACTGCTCGGCTTGCTTTCATGGTCTTTCCTTCAAAAAGTGGTCCGTCATGGTCTGTCCCTCCAGCTCGGCGCGATTGGAACACACCCAGACAGGGTCAACAAAACACTCCAGCTCGGCGCGAAACCAGTTGCGTGCCCACTCGTACAAGGATTAATCTACACTGACTGATAACTACACTGACTGATGAGAGGTGGTCCAAGTGCTGCACGGGAGCCTTGGGCAAACTTGCCGTTGTCCAGAAGGTCAATGCCGGAGTCCTCACAATGTCGAAAGCCGCCAATGCAGTACACATGGCTACCCAGGACCCAGAGAGAAGCATGCAGCTGTGTAAACTCCAAGGCTCAAGAAGTGACAAAAGTATATGCACCATACTACAGTAATATTTATACACTTGTTTAAAAATTTTGAGTTTAAAGCCCGTGGCCCCGCCCTCAGATATACTAGAAGTTCGCTCCTAGCCAGGACGCAGGATAGCTCATAGTCGAATGATGTGGTTAGACTATTTTGGAACCCCAACTACAGTATACAATTTGCAAAACCGCCGAATTTTCCTCATAGGCCACGGCCAGCTCGCGGCGCAGCGCCTTTCGCACCGTCTGGCGCTTGGCTGCAGCTGCGCCCAGCACGGTGAGCGCCAGGCCGGTGGCGGCACCCATCCCGGCGGAGCCTGCGGTTGTCGACCGAAAAAAGCCGAAAAAAAATGAGCTCGGAAGGATTCGAAGGTCTTCAGCCCAGTATTGCAACCCCAAATCCGTTGGCGACCGCATCTTCCCAAAAAGGCGAAGTGGTTTTCAGGTGCCGTGTCTGGTGAGCCTGAGCTCTTCTGCTGTGCGCCCCGCAACCCCGGTGCAGCGGTGGGGGCTTCCGCACGTGGCGCCGAAGTAGCGCTCAGGAAGGCTGGGACGGCGACCAGGCCGGTGGCCGCCAATGCCATGGCAGTCTTGGACATGGTCGGGATGGTCGAAACGAAAGAAGTTTGGAGAAGAAGGGGAACCTGTTTTGACCCATGAGACATGTCTGGCCATCCAAAAATCCCGCCTGCCTGAAAGAACATTCCATGAGCCAAGAGCCGCGACGTTTTGTGTCGGAAGCTGACTGCTAGCTGCTAGCTGGGCCGCCACCTCCTTATGGTTTAAATGGCCCAGCCCCCCAACTTGTTTCAGCAATCCCCGGGTCCTGTCCTTTACTGAGCGTTTGGGTGCCATCTAATCTGCACGTACGGTACGGTCATTCTAGGGCCATAGACATAGACCCTCCAGCCACCATCCACGTGGGGACACTCAGCTTCAGGACCACGGACACTCTGCTAAAAATGTCTGCAAGGGACACCACCAAAAACCAAAGATCTAGAAAACCAAGTAAGGCCTTGCAAAGGCTGCAAAGGCTGGCCAGAGACTTGAGCTCCTCACAGATCGCCCTTGCCCTGGCCTGAAAAGCCAAACGAAAAACATCGCTCCGTTTTTGCCGTCCAATCCGCATGCAGCCACTGGTCCAGGTGTTCAAAAAGCTACACCTGGAAACATGTCGCTCCGTGGCTTCATGCCCCTTAGGTGAGACGGCCAATCCCGTCAGAACCTAAGCTGATCAGTCATCACAATTGGGTCAACCATGTGCTGTCGCACGCGGCTCTGCCCTCCAACCTAATAGCGATGGCCTCCAACCTAATGGCGATGGCCTCCAACCTCCAACCGAATCGGCCTCCAACCGAATATTCATAAGAATTGTTTTTTTGCAAAGCTCTTCTTCCGCCATCAGATCGCGGAAACAAAAGTGCATAAGTTATACATTTCTCGCAGTGCTTGACGGATGTCATGCTGTCCGCTTATGAACATCATGCCCACATGCTTGGAAATCATCTGGTGGATGGTGAATGTGGCTCCCCAACATTCCAAACTGTTCTCCGCTTACACCTTCAAACCCAAAACAGTGAATTCTCGGCCATTCTTCAATTGAATGGCTCGCAAACGGGTGAATTCTCGGCCGTTCTTCAATTCAATGAACGGGTGTTGTAAAAACCGCAACGATGGGCCCAAAAGAACTCTGAATCAAATCCAGGACACAGCCATGGGAAAGGATGGCGGGTCAGGGCCGCTTGCGTCACCGCTCCTGCGAAGGCCAGCATGGCCAAGCGGCCGTTCTTCAGCTCAGCCAGGCGCATCTTCTTCTGACCCTCCTGGAGCGCACCACGGCCACGAACAAAGGAAGAAAGAAGAATGGCAACCATGCAAATAGCAATCAACCACCCAAATTTCAAATTGCATGAATGTATTCAAGGCGAATGCCATAAAGAGTCCGTTTACTTAACTTATCTTCGGGTTTCACATGAGATATGAAGAATCATTGACTTGAAGAAAGAAACCTAGCAACCATGCATGTTCTTCCTCTGCACAGGCTGGTACATTTATCCCCCAATACTCCAACTAGCAAAAGCACAGTTCATCACAATTCTGCCAACACCTTCAGGTTGGCCCATGTTTTACAGAAACTCTTCTCCCTGTTTCTTGGCATTTCTCGGCCATGCACCTTTTCCGCTCTGCCTTTTCCCATCCTCGTCACTGGGGAACAAACTGGTAAGGCCATAGTCGCCGGCCACCTCAACGGAGTTCCACTCGAAGACCTTCTTGGCGCAGCAGAGCTCCAGGATGCTGACCCAGAAGAGGACCTCTCAGATCGGCCTAATGAATCTGACACAACGCATGCTGTGCATAGGTTTCAGTGGATCGACTTCCATTTCAGTTTCCGCAATCGGCAATCGGATCCATTTCATCCATCAGTCCACCAGTCCAGTACCGTGAGACAAAGTATGAGATCGTCCCGTGCTGCCTTGTGAGACAACGACCATCCATTCGTCCACTGTCCCGGGGGTCTCTGGGGATCCGTCACCAATCCTGAGAAAATTCTCAATCCAGTCTTCACAGTTGTCACCGGTCAGAAAGCCGATGATAGCATTTGAGAATTTGAAGCACTGCAGTCCCAACCACTGGCAGCAAAGCTAGCCTGGGTAGCAAGGCCTTGCTGTGTATATTATATAGTTATAAAATGTTATAGTATGTTATAGTCACATATAGTCACTCCATATTGAAAAGGAAACAACAGAGCCTTCAAAAAGGACTCCACCAAATCCAAATCCCGCAAAACCTAAGAACTAAGAGACCCACTCCCAAATCCCAAACTGTCCCAAACTGCTTGTTGTTCGAAAAGCTTGGGAGTTGCTGGGCTGCTGCTACTCCCACCTGACTTGCTACTCCCAACCCGTCTGCAACCAAGTACGGGCGCCTGTGCGTTCACGCCGGTGGCGCCCAGAAAGGCGTCATGCGCGTCGATGGACACGGGAACCGCTTCGAAGGAGAACTTCTCACCTCCACCAGAGGATGGGGCGGCCGCACGGGATGGGGAATCCGGGCGTGCGCTGGCCGCTGGACATCTGAGACCCAACATGTTGAGTTGTCAGCACACGTTCCCCCTTGCTGTGACCAAGAATCTGGGAAAGCACCGGCCACAGGGGAAGGAGTTGTCCCCCTTGTGGACAACAAGAAGCCCACGCAAAAACCATCAAAAACCCGCCGAAGGATCAGCCATTCAAACCCGCCCTGCGGTCGCACCTGGGAGGCGCACGAAGTCTGGCACCACCAAGCCCACCCAGGCAAGCATGGCCAAGCGTCCGTGCTTCAGCTCAGCCTGTGCTTCAGTCGTTTGGCTCGAGACAAATGAAGCCCGACCAAAATCTGACCTCGCGCCTCGCGGAAGTAGGGCACCAGCTCGGTCTTCTTGGAGAAGCCCAAAGGATCGAACTCATAGCGGCCCCAGGCACCCTCGGAACCCACCAAGCCTGCGAGAAAGCTAGGGTAAGGGAGAAGATCTGGACCTGGGTAGAAGGCTGCTACGCAAGCAATCTGGAGTTGATGCGGAGAAGCGCTCAGGCAAGGTCATCTAAGCTATTTGCCCAATGTGAATGGAATTGATGCAAGTTGTAACGACTCTAGGTCTTCTCTGTATTCTCCGCATCAAACAGTGAACAAGGTCGGTTGCGCTTGACTTCAGAAAGCAAATCCAGCTGTCTACAGCTCCACCATGGAATCAGCACAGTATGCCAGTCTCTTGGAAGAGGTGTGACTTGCTTCGGTGGTTTCGACTGGTCCCTGATCTCCTGGTCCACGGCCCCACCCCTTTGCTGGATGCTCCCAGGTGCGCTTTTCAGACCCCAAGAGGTGGTTTGCAGGCACCCCTTCCCACTATGTATTAAATTAGATGCAGTTAGTTTGTGGTACCTGCCACGCACATGTCATAGAAACACCCAGCCGGAGAGCTTCCGGGCGACCACCGATCGGCTCGACCGAGTGTGTTCAACAGGGCCTTGGGCGAACTTGCCGTTGTCCAGGAGGTCAATGCCAGAGTCCTCACAACGACGATCGCTTTTTGATCCTTTTTGTTCCGGTTGGAAGATTAACAAGAAGCTACTAGTAACTGATGCATCGCTACTAGTAACAAGTGCATTACTAATTACTAGAGGCAAATAGCTACGACTCCGTGGGCGGCGTTCGGCATGGCCGAAGGCTTCAGAGTTTAGTCCAATAGATTTAACGGTGCGACGGATCTGGCCTTGGAAAACTGGTGTTGGTTCCTAAACGGTCATGGAGTCATGTCCGCCCTACACACATGGTGGCTCACAAAAAGGGCGGTTGCGTGTGCTTTAGGCCTATGGATTCAGAAAACCAAACGAATCAGTATCAGTTCTACTGATCCCTAGCAATCTTTCATGCAGATCAATTCATCGAGTCAAATTACTATATCAAACCTAACAGAAGGATACGGAAGGTACCTCCTTCCATCTAGTCCACCAAAGTTCATTGCAAAAACAAACGTGGTTCTCCACCCACGTCCACATCCCTCCTCGTAGGCCACGGCCAGCTCACGGCGCAGCGCCTTTCGCGCAGTCTGGCGCTTGGCCGCGGCCGCGCCCAGCACGGTGAGAGCGGCCAGGCTCGTGGCAGCGGCGGCGCCCACACCGGCCGAGCCTGGCTACGTGGGTTGTAAGTTGTAGGTGAGATGTTTTGGATGTGATCTTGGGACCAAGTCATATAAATGATCTCTTCAAGCAAATCTTCCATGCTTTTGTACTTCAGGGAGTTGGCATGGTAGACTAACTCGCAAGGTGGCGACTTTGGGAATATGGATTCTTTCGAGATGCGATCCAAGTTCCTCTTCAGGTGGGTTTGGAACCTCTGCAGGACCACATCCATACAGCCTGCGACTGACATAGCTGCATCGTTTTAAAGGGCATTGCTACTAGCAGCTAGAAGCTAGTAGTCACCCCATCAGTCCGAGTCCACCTCTTTCGCCTCGATCCCACCGGCCTGTGCTCTGAGCACCCCGCAGCGCGGGAGCGCGAGCCGATGCTCCGTGACTCACCAGCGGCCCTCCGATGAAGGCCGGCAGGGCGACGAGGCCGGCGGCCGCCAGCCTGAGTTGCCGGCCAGGGCTTTGACCAAAGGTGTTGGAGCCTGTCTAAGGGGATTGACCAAAGGTGGTGTTCCTGTGATGATCATAGTCTTAGTCGTTCCTTCAGATTGGAAGGGCGTTTCCTGTGGCAGGACCCACAGGTAGAGCTGTTGCTGGGAAGTCCGCGGGCCTGTGTAATGCAAGATCGATGGTATTCCGTTCAGACTTATATATATATATATGTGTGTGTGTGCATATGTATTCACACTCACATTCTTTGGGTGTTTGTCAGTTGAGGTATGTGGCTCAAGATACTCAAGCTCTTCCTAAGCAATGTGCCAAACAAAAACAAACCAATTCGTGGGAATTGGTCCACGAGTTTCTCGAGATGATGGTCTTCACTTGTGGAGAGAAGCATCTCAAAACATGGAGCTTCCTCAACATGGATGCTTTCTCGCCACCCAGGGGATGGAGGCAAAGAGAAAGTGATGTTTAAAAAGTGGAAGGTGGACGGCACAGGAAACATCTAGGATGTCACAGAAGAGGAAGGACTTCACATCTTGAACCTGGCAGTCGCTCAACACATCCTTTTTGGCAGAAGGTTGTATTGACAACCAGGATAGATAGCAAAGTAGATCTTCATCAAGTGTAACATATGTTTTAAAAAGTGCAAAACCTCAGACAACATCAATTCGGGGAACACGGACTGATGTGTTGGAGGTTCTTCCAACAGCTCTTTCCCTTTTTCGCCCGTCGGTCCAACTGAGCCGGGCCGCATTGCGCTCTTGCTGGACATGGTCGCTACAGGTCACGGGCGGCACGTCGTCACCAGCTTCGAGCCGGAGCGGCGTCCAGCGGCGTCCGAGCGTCCAGCGGCCTCCAAGCGGCCCCTTTTAGCGGTGGTCTGCTTCCAACAGCGAAAGGCTTCGATGTTTGGTGCCTGCAGTTGCAGGTCCACATTGGGATGGGTATTGAAGTCCCGATTCTGGTACACACACGCATGGGGTCGGTCGAACGTTGATGACCAGTGCCCTTCGATCTCATTGGGTTTCATGGACCACATTCAAGAGCCTGGACACACCCACATAGAGGTGAAGAATAGCCACCGGGAGCCTCCTCCGTTCCCCCCCAAAAAGAACACAAGAAAGGTGTCTTCCGACTCCAGGTCGTAAACTCAGTAGACTGAACATGTCAAGATAATTAGGCTGCTTGAGCTCAACGAAAACCGGGGCCCAAGTGGGAGCAGAAGAGTGGGTGTTCCATTTGGCAAACGAAAACCTTTATGGTTTCGCTTCGAAAAGCGTTTCTGGGCCACGGCTTCCCATGCAACAAGCAGATGTGTCCACCTCTTGGCTCACAGCCAAACGTCTTTCACTATGACAGGCCTCGGAATGCGTGGTGCACCAATTCCCATGCGCAATTGGTTCACCATTGGGGAAGGCTTCCCAAGCTTTGATGCACCCATCTCCATCGAACCTATGATTTATCCATCCACGCACGCCACACCGCACCCCGCGGAGCGTCGAGGTCCCAGCACCCGGCGCACGATCTGCCACCAGGATTATGGATGGGCTGCGGTGTTGGGGCCGTGACGGCCCACTCGTACCACACCTGCACTCGTACAAACTTGTACCATCGGGCCACAGCAGAGGCCCTGGGGGCGGAGATGAGGCCTTCGGTGATGAAGCAATGTCAAGAACTGGTAAATCGACTGTATGTATGTGTACATATATATATATATATCATGTAGTTTCTAATCACTCTAATTGACTGACAGAATATGAACTGTTGGGGCTCAAATTGTCTAGGATGTTCGAACACATCCATCGATCAGCGTTGATCAGCGGGGTTTTGTTGATCTATGTATATACTTGCCCCTGATAGGAAAAGAATGATGGCACCAGGATCTTTCTATGTGCCCGTTATTCAAAAAGGCAAACAGGTATGCTGAAGACCCTTCAATCAAATGCGACACAAGTTTCAAGCAGTTCGGGGTCTGATCGACCAGGTTGAAGATGTTTGAAGGATGTTGGTTTCCTAGACCAGTCTCAGATTCCGTCGGTACGTGTCCGGCTTCAAAGGCTTGGCATAGGCTGTAGACAAATGTACGAGCAACAGCAGGAAATCTCAGCGCTTCCAAAAAAGCCCTTACTGCCCCCGCGTTGAGAGGAAAACAAACTCCCCCATTGTTCAGGGACATCCTAGGGTTTCTGTCCTTGGTGGTATACACTGCCAGTCTAAATCTTGGAGTGCAGTGAGACCCTTCGTTCACGTCGCTTCAGCATTTGGTGTCAGGTTGCAACCTCAGCCTGACCACCGGGCCGGCCCTTTTCTCGCGAGGCCGCAGGCGTTGGAAAAGAGACGCGGCGAAGAGGTTCAGTGCAGGCCGAGGCAGCAGATGTGACACAGACTTTATACGACGCAAGATATGGAAGTGAGAAGCTTCTTGCTACTAGTAGTAAGGCACCTTGCTACTAGTAGCTTCTTGCTACTAGTAGTTTGATACCCTAAACTCCTAAGAAGACGATCGTAATTCATACAAACCAGTGGTTCTCCACTCCCGTTTGATGTGTTCGTCCGAGTGTCACCATTCTCACTCATCTCCAATGTTCACTTTGGGGCCCGAAGAGCAGTCAATCATGAAACTTGGGATTGCCTTCACCAGAGTCTGGGATTGAGGATTCCCTGCGTGTGACCAAATCGCACACGAATGCTTTTTTTTTAACCGCGCTTTTTTAATGTTGTTTTTCACTCGTGAATAGACTGGTGATGTTTAGAGGTGGGAAACTCCGTCCAGCTCTTCCATGAGAGATTCTTGAGTCTGTCTTCGACTTGATTCTTGACAAGCTGTGCTTTTCCAAGCGAATCACAAGTCATAGGGACTGAAGTGACTGAAAATTCTAAAAAACGAAGGAATGGAAAGAGGTTCGCGTAAGCCACTGTTACTGCCACGTCACCCAAGACACATGAGTGTCATAAAATACCAGGGATGTTCACCTACAACAATTCTCGGGTAACTCGCTTGATGTCAAGGCGTCTGCCGCACCTTCCCTCCCCCTTGACTTTGAACTGGATGTCAGTCTGAATGCACAAACAAACTGAAAATGTGATATCTCTGTTTCTACTATAGCGAAAAGAAACAGTGGAAAGTCGAAGTAATTTGAGTAGTATATAGAGGTGAAACAACTGCATAGACAAATGGATTGTGATTGTCGTGTGTTCATATTGAACCCCGCCCATATCACTGAAGCCTGGAATCTTTGCAGCAACGAACACCGCACAAAATCAGTAGAGCTGTCTGCATTCGTCGGCGCTGCCCTGCTTAGCCAGCTGCGCTTTTGGCATGAGCTTAGATAGTTGAGCACGCAGGCTCTGCTTAAAAGCAGCCGGTGAGCCGGATTCAATAAGGGCAGCCCAAAGAGATTGCCTTCTACGCTCAGCCAAACCTATGAAGCCCAAAGGCCCTTTCAAGCCCACATTAAGGGACGACGGTACAAAGGTCAGGGTGGAATTTAAAGTACAGTAGACCAAAAGCGAGCCGAACATGTCTTTCGGCAAGCAAAGAACGCATGGAACTTCTGTTCACTGTAGCAGTAGCAACATCGTCGACTTTTAATTGTCACGAATCAATGAATCAAGTCATCAAACGTTGTGTTAGACCTCTCACCGAGCGGCGCGACGTTTGGCGCTTCTTCTGTCGCGTTGAAAACCATCACATGGCTTGAAAGCCATCACCACAGTAGTCCTGGCCGTGTGGTGACCACCGTGAAAAGCAGCCACCTGTTCACCCTGTTTGGCTGCAAAAAAGACGCAAGTAGGTTGGAGGTCATCGCTCTTAGGTTGGAGGCCATGGCAAGTAGGTTGGAGGCCATCGCAAGTAGGTTGACGGCAATCGCTCTTAGGTTGGAGGCCATTGCTTGGAACTAGGCTCGGTGAGTGATGACATAGCCCACGTGTGATATGCTGCATGGTGCCCATCAAGTAGAAGCCCAAGATCACAGAAACGATCTCGTTCATAGTCATAGGAACCAGCGCGTCCAGGCTTTCCAACATCACATGCAACACGAAACCAAACAGTAGGCTTCAACATCTTCAACATTATACCGGCATAGACCCCAGATAGCATCCTGTATAAACTCGTTATCGTTTTTTTCTGTTATCGTTTTCTGGGCCGGCAATGCAAAAGTAGTGTTAAGGCGCATGCCAATACTAAACTGCTGGGCACGGGGTGATTTCAACAGCCCAAGTGCGCAAGTGGGCGCATGTGGTCATGTGCAAACCTTTCAGAACGCCTGCGCGTTCTCACTAAAAGGGTGTGTTTCCTGCCGAAAGTAACGATGCTTAGTTTGCCACATAAAAGATGCAAGCGACACAAGGCACACCGTCCCACTCAAAAACCAAAATCACACAACAGCATCCACGTCAAAGGCAGGCAAGAAAATGACAAGGCGGCAGCGGCAGCCAAGAGCGAAATCACGTACAGAGACAAACTTGGGAGACAAGGCGGCAGCGGCAGACAAGAGCGAAATCATGAAGGAAGACAAGGTTGGGAGACAAGGCGGCAGCGGCAGCCAAGAGCGAAATCACGAAGGGAGACAAGCTTGGGAAACAATGCAGCAGCAGCAGCCAAAAGCGAAATCATGAAGGGAGACAAGCCTGGGAGACAAGCCGGCAGCGGCAGCCAAGAGCGAAATCATGAAGGGAGACAAGCTTCACAAACAAGGCGGCAGCGGCAGCCGAGACAAGCTTGGGAGACAAGGCGGCAGCGGCAGCCAAGAGCGAAATCACGAAGGGAGACAAGCTTGGGAAACAATGCAGCAGCGGCAGCCAAGAGCGAAATCATGAAGGGAGACAAGCTTCACAAACAAGGCGGCAGCGGCAGCCGAGACAAGCTTGGGAGACAAGGCGGCAGCGGCAGCCAAGAGCGAAATCATGAAGGGAGACAAGCGTGGAAGACAAGGCGGCAGCGGCAGCCAAAAGCGAAATCATGAATGGAGACAAGCTTGGGAGACAAGGCGGCAGCGGCAGCCAAGAGCGAATATCATGAAGGGAGACAAACTTGGGAGACAAGGCAGCACCGGCAGCCAAAAGCGAAATCATGAAGGGAGACAAGCTTGGGAGACAAGGCGGCAGCGGCAGCCAAAAGCGAAATCATGAATGGAGACAAGCTTGCGAAACAAGGCGGCAGCGGCAGCCAAGAGCGAAATCATGAAGAGAGACAAGCTTGGGAGACAAGGCGGCAGCGGCAGCGGCAGCCAATTTCCGCAATAATGATCCCATCCATTGAGAAGTAAGAACCCCTATAGCTTCCAGCTATCTGGGGAAAAATACACTGCTCATGCTGGAAGCTTACCCACCCTCCACGGTGAGCCGCATCTTCATCAGCAACTCTGGGTGCAAAGGTGACCATGAGATGCACGAAATCCCACTGTGTGGATGTCTCACAACGGAAGTCGCGCCCGGTGCGACTAAACTCTATCTGCTCTGAAGGAAGGATGTACCATGCGGCCGCCAAAAGACCATGAAGTGAATCATCAGCGCACCATGCATTATGTTTATTTCCCAGTGTGTGCCTGGTATCCACACCCGTGGACCCTGTCTGCAAGCACACCGCCATACCGTCTACATACCGTCTCCTATGTCATTCTCGACCTCGTGGGAACCGTCCTTCCACGAAACCTGGGTTTCCCCGCCATGTAGCCCAGCTGACAGCGCTCGTCTTTCGTCGCCTGCCTGGGCGTACGAGTATGGTGAAACCTGTGTGAGGCAACCCTCACCACGGTGTTTGCACCAGCAATCACTTTGCGAGAAGTCTCAGGGAGAGCATACAGAGTTGTTCAAGCTGATTTATGTAATTTCGGACTCGAGTGAAAGATCATGTCTGCGGTAGTATGACCAGTTGCTACCAAATGCCCTTCTCCAATTTGGGAGAAACGTGTGGCAATGTTTGTGGAAATTGCCTGTTTCCTTAGAGACTCTTTAAAATCGCAGAGAGTTCTCCAAACAAAACTGGTTGAAACCTCAACTGTAGGTACTGTACCTGATCCAACCTGGATCGCCAACTGTCTGTTCAGGCCCTACCTTAGACTGGTCAATCCTATCTCTGTGCCCTGTGCCCCATGTCTTCAGACATTTCTACAATGGCTGGTCCATTCAGGGTCGGGAATCAAAATACAGTAAAACAAACAAAAGCTTAAAAGGAAAAAATAGAACAATCATGCGCAGTGTCAGTGAAAAATAGAGAAAAGGTCGTAGCAGTAGTAGTAGGTAGTACTAGTACTAGTAGTAGTCGTAGTCGTAGTCGTAGGAGGAGGAGGAGGAGGAGTAGTACTAGCAGTAGCAGCAGTAGTAGAAGAAGTAGCCGCAGCAGTAGCAGTAGTCTTAGTAGCCGTAGGCTTGGTTGTCTTGGTTTGGCTGTTCCGAACCTTCTGGAGATGCATGGACACGGCTACTCTCTCATACCATTAAATGGTCGCAGTTGTGGCCAACAGGACCATGAAAA